CTAATGGGCTGCAATGGTTAAGTACAGCTTCCAGATTCCTTTTGAAAGGATTTCATCAGGTTGAGCCATCATTTTTTTTATATTAAAAAAAATCTGATGTCAGAGTTATTAGTGATTTATTTGCCTCTTCTTCTCAATAATATTCTTGCCACACATGGAAGCTGTTTTCTCAATTGTCATACTTTCTTCATAACCTTAATGTTTCTTCAACTCTTCCTTTTTACTTTCACAAGTTTGTGAAATTTCTTAGTGGGGACATAAAGGATAGCTAAGCAGGCTAATATGTTAATCTTGATTTGTGCAATTCAGTAAAATACAAGTATTACATGTGCATATTTGGCCTGTTGTAAGACTCATCTAGAGGCAATAGATATACTTTTATAATGGCTAAGTTATGGTTGGGCAAGATCCACCTCTTGTGAAGCCATGCAATCATACATTATACATTAGAATATACAGCACAGAAACAGGCCATTCGGCCCAACTGGTCTATGCCGGTGTTTGTGCTCCACGTGAGCCTCTTCCTGCCCTTCCTCAACTAGGCCTTCAAGCATCACCTTCTATTCCTTTCTCCCTCATGTACCTATCTAGCTTTCCCTTAAATACATCTATGCTAATTGTCTCAACAATTCCTTGTGGTAGCATGTTCCACATTCCCACTACTCTCTATGTGAAGAAATTTCTTCTAACTTCCCTATTTGATCTATTTGTGATTATTTTATATTGATGGCCCTTGGTTTTGGTCTCCCCCCACAAGTGGAAACATCTTCCCTATGTCTACCCTATCAAAATCTTTCATCATTTCAAAGACCTCTATCAGGTCACCCCTCACCCTCCTCTTTTCAAGAGAAAACAGTCCAAGCATATGCATCCTTTCCTGAAGGTATAACCGCTCAGTTCTGGAATCTCCTGTGGACCCTCTCCAGTGCCTCCACATCCCTTGTATAACGTGGGGACCAGAACTGCACACAGTATTCTAAGTGTGGTCTAACCAAAGTTCTGTAGCAGTTTACCATAACTTCCCTGCATTTCATTTCTATCCCTCTAGAAATGAACTCCAGTGCCTGGTTTGCTTTTTTATGGTCTTATTAACCTATCTTGATACTTTTAGGGAATTGTGCATGTGTACCCCTAGATCCCTTTGCTCCTCTTCCCCATTTACAACAACAACAAGAAGATTCCATTTATAAAGCGCCTTTCACATCAGGAGGACGTCCCAAGGCGCTGCACAGTTGGGTCAGGTCCCGAGCAGGGGGAAATGGTCAGGGTGAGGGGAGGGAAGGGAGGGAGCGAGGAGGGGGAAATGGTCAGGGTGAGGGAGGGAAGGGAGGGAGCGAGGAGGGGGAAGAGAGTCGAGAGGGGAGCTGAAGGCTCGGTCAAAGAGAAAGGTTTTGAGACCGGCCTTGAAGGAGGAGAGGGAGGAAGCAAGGCGAAGGCACTGGGGGATGGAGTTCCAGAGCCTAGGGGCTGAGAGGCTGAAGGCCCGACAACCGATGGTAGGGCGATTGGGGCGGTGGACGTGGAGCAGACCGGAGCCGGAGGAACGGAGGGTACGGGCAGGTATTTAGGGGGATAGTAGGTCAGAGAGGTAGGAGGGAGCAAGGCCGTGGATGGCCTTATAGGTGAGGATGAGGATCTTGAAATCAATCCTCTGGGGGATGGGGAGCCAGTGGAGGCGAGCGAGGGTGGGTGTGATGTGGTCCCGAAGCCTGGTGCGGGACAGTACACGAGCTGCAGAGTTCTGAATGAATTTAAATTCCCACTCAGCAAGTTTATTAGTGTCTTGCTGTAATTTGTTGCAGTCCTCCTCTGGATTAACTACTCCCCCCAATTTGGTGGCGTTCGCAAATTTTGAAATTGTACTGCTATCAGTAGCTATCAGATTAAAACAGTGGACAGAGTCAATGATTTACTGAGGATACTGGTTGACGATGATGTATACATCCATTAGGTCTATCACCCAATATGTTATATGTCACTGGATAGACTAAAAACTAGATAGATTCAATAATTCATGCATGTGAATTAGAAGAATTGCTGGATGTGTGTGAGGAGAGAGAGCTAGAGAGGGTGGAGTGCTAGCACAGTGAGTGGGGATTTTAGGAGGGTTGGCAATATGTAAGGAAAAAGTGAAAGAGGGAGAGGGCATTGTTGATGACAAACCAGCCAGCCTAGCTCATCAGTGGGACTTCACTTCTTCTACCACCACATACAGAATACTAATCTTTCTCTATCCCCATCTTTCCACAGTGTCTGGCCTCCTCTCTCTCCCCACACACCCTGCCATTCCTCTCTTGCCCTTCACACTGTGCTACCTCTTTTTTATGCACCCCATCCCCCACAGTCTCTACAGTGCCAGCCCTTCTCTTTGTCCTACAGTGTCAGGTCTTGTCTGGACAGACTGGGGCCAGAGATTCCTCCCACGTGGCTCCTGTTAAACCCAGCAAGCCAAAGCCTTAAGCCTTGGTCTTTGTTGCATAATCAGTGTATATGCAGATAAAAGCCAAGGGGTCCCCAAGCCTTGGCTTTTATCAACCTGCCCCTAATAATCTCTAAAATTAGGAAAGCAGAGTGCACCTCTCCAAGGAGAATATGCATTCTGTTACAGAAACAGGGAAATTTCATTGCATCGATGTGTGGAATTCTGTCTAGTTTGGATCGCTTCAATATGGTGATGGGTTTCACATATTTTGGACACTGACTGACAATGATCAAAACCCAATTGCCCCACTCCAGGCAAGTGATCTTTTTCTGTTTTGGGTGACCCTGAAGCAAGCAATTGTGTTTTGTACATTGTAGGGCATATATAATAATAATCCTTGCATTTGATATAGCGCTTTTCACGTCAGGAGGACGTCCCAAAGCGCTTCACAGAATACACTGTAAAGTGAATTGACTGTATATTTGTGGGCGAACGCGGCAGCCAATTGCGCACAGCAATGTCCCACAAACAGTCGTAGATTGAAAATGACCAATTTATTATCGTTTTTGGTTTTGGAGGGATTATTATTAGGCGTGTGGAGTAAGGAAACTTGCCCAAGATATCAAGCTCTAGATTCTGGTTTCATTTTTTTATGTATTGCTTTCCCAACATTGATCTGCCTATGAGGAATGAAACCCACCCTCTCCTCATATTGAAATGTTGAACCCACAGGCTTCAGGTCTTGACTGCCCAATCGCTAAACGTTGGTAGTTATGGAACATTACTTAATTATTTAAGAAATACGCAATCTACAGCAAATTTAACCCCAAAGTGTGCTATTATATTCACAGTAACTTCTGGGATGGAGCTCAGAGGGGATATTGGATCTTATGAATAGCAGTTTAGAGAACAAGGATTAGCAAATTAAATTCAGGTTGAATGTTTGGTGATGCTTATTTTAAATCATGTGCTTATAAGAGGAATTCCCCAATCTTAGAAATCCAGCCTGCCTCAGTTGGTAGCACTCTCCACCCAAGTCAGCAAGTTGGGGGTTTAAGCCTTATGTCGGAACTTTGAACTTATGCTCCAATGCAGTGCTGGGGTGCTTTGCATTGTGATCAGTGTTATAAACCACCCTTCATGGCCTGACTCTTCCTACTTATTTCATAGAACAGTAGAATCACAGAAATGTACAGCACAGAAGAAAGCTATTCGGCTCATTGGGTCTGTGCCGACTCCTTTAAGAGCAACATTTCAGTCCCATTTACCTGCGCTTTCCCTATGCCTGTATCTTCTCATGTCTTGTAGTTCTATTCTGCCCATTTCTAAATTACCAAAAATCACAAACAATATTTAAAAGGGAAGACGTATGATCAGTATGATGGAATAGTTGCAGACACATGAACCAGTCTGACATACAACGTCACTTAACATGCTACCATATGGCAGCGGCCCGAATGGAAGGCAGATTTGGGAGCTACCAATAAGCAAAAATGCAAAGGGTGGTGGAATACAATAACAACAAATTACGACTTGTATAGCACCCTTAACGTCAGAAAGATGTTCCAGGGCACTAGATAGTCGGGGTATTTTGCACCTGACCTGGGAGTTGGGGTCAGGAGGGGTGGAGGGCAGGTAGGCTGGGGGTGGGAGAGTGGCCGAAGAGGAAAGTCCTTAGAAAGGGGGTGAGGGGGAGGGATTGCAAGATAGAGATCGAGTGTGGAAGCAGAGATGCTGAATGCCCGACCACCAATGGTGGGGCGGGAATTGCAGGGGACCTGAAACAGGTGGATACTACACTAAGTTGGTTGCCTTATTGCATTCAATTGTGTGCCTTCAACATTTTACATGAAATGGTTAAAACAGACAAATCTTCACTTTTACATACTGCAGGAGAACCCTGTTAGAATAGCCTTCAATAAAGTACTACCTTGCTTATATTCAATTTAGTGCTGGTAATGCTTATAAGGTGGATTGGTAATGGATGTTATTTTGTGCCATGAAAACATGAAAATCATGTTATTGTGAGAGTAACACTAATAGGTTAGGTTGGCCACTGTGAAAATTGTGCAATGAATTGTTCATTGTGTGAAAGCTGCTGGACAACTTTTAGCACACGTATGCAGTGTCCTAGTGATGACGAACACTGACAGATGTGGCCCTTTAGACTGCGTGCTTATAACACCGCGTTATAGCAATACAAATTTACATAGCACCTTTCATGTCAGGATGATCCCATGCACTCAATAATGGGTTGGACTTCAACCAGTAATGGAAGCAGAGGGGTTGGGGAGCTGAAAGATGACCAAATGCAGTTATAGAGGCAGGACTTGACTTGAGACTGACCCTGAATGAGGTGAGGGAGAGAGCGAGTCAGAGGGACTCCAAGATGGAGATACAGAGAATGGCAGCAGATAGGCTGAAAGTCCACCCACCAATGGTGAGCAGGAGATATAGGAGGCCAGTGTCTACTGAGTGAAAGGAGCAGGTGGGTCAGTCAATACTAGAATTATTGATGATTTTCTGCAAACATTCAACAATCAGATTTTACTTACACATTAGTCATACACTGGTTCACTTTTAATGCATAAAAACTTTTATTATGTATCTTTTCTGATCATCTGGAGAAATTCAGGCAACATTTGTGCAGTACATATTTCTAAAGCAAAGAAATAACATGTACAATATACAGTAGCTGCACTTACAGCAATTTGGATCACATAATTTTGAACTGTCACTGTACAGAAATATTCTCTAGTTGCACATTGAGTCAGTGTTGATTTCACTCAATACAACTTCATAGATCTGAATTTGAAACAAAAAGTTGCAATTAGGGCTTTAATGTGTAGAAATAAGGCTGTTGCCTCTGGAATGTTGAATGTACGAGGTTATTAAGCTCCAGAGATTAGGTTACCAAGTGCTTTTCACGTGCAAAATTTTACTTGCTAAAGCTTTCCAAAACACAGTATTAGATTATGAACTCTCAAGTGACCTTGGATCGTGATTATGGGGTCCAGGGGGCAAAAGAAATATTCCAATCAAAAGCTAACTTTCTACAGCAGCAGTCCTAGTCCCTGAAGTTCTATGTGCCCTCCCCAAGTACAGCAATTCTTGTTCATTTGAATGTGATGGTCCACTGCTTCACACATGCATCATGGGAAGTGGTCACCAGAATGTGCTCATCCAACCAAGCAATACCGCTGATATGATATAGCCGATGAGCATCTGAGGAGAAGACAAAATTACATATTAAAAAAAATTCAATCCAGAATTAAAGAGTAGTTTAGTTAAGGTATCAAGACAACAGAGTGACGTAAATCACATTTACTTCAAAACGCTTACGTTTTAACCCTAAGTTTCAAGCACAATTTTGAAGTTGGTTTTAAATAGTTATTCACAAAATATTTTTAATCTACTCTGGTTTAAAAAGTAAACACACCTTTGCAAAAAGCGATGTTTGATGGCATTCATTTTTCATTTTCCTAAGAACAAACATGCACTTAACCAGTGACACATCTTTACAATGTTGGACTGACAACCCAGGATTAACACCAGTTTCCCTTCAGCACAAACAATCTTGTGCAATTCAAATAAAATTATTCTCCCTCAGTATTCATTAGATTACAACATAAGAGACTGCATACATTTTACTCGTTATATATGGAGACATTCCTGGCAACACCTCCTCCCCCAGGAAAAGCATTCTCTACAGCTCGACTTTGATAGACTAGACAGATGACACTGGCTGGAAAATTGGTTCCACCTTCCAGCTTCAAAATCCTTCCATTTGACAAGGATAATTCACACAAAATCCCTCACACAAGAAAAAAATCTCATCAAATCTTAGTTTTGTAAACTACCTGTCAGTTTCATTTTTGATGCTGTAATACCAAGGGTCCAGATGTAAACCAATGAATCCATCCCTCCAGTTGCAAAGTGCTGATTGTCTGGTGACCATCCTATGCAGACAATTTTAGCATGGTGCCCATGGTAAGTATTCTCCTCCTGTTAAAACAGAAAAGTATTAGCTAAAGGTTCATCATACAAATATGAAAATACATGTGCTGTTCAGTACAAATATGAAAATACATGTGCTGTTCAGAACACATTTTTATAAATAATCCATTGCATAATTGTAGCATTAAGAGAGATTTTTTTTAATATAACCTATCCTCCCCCCACTAATCCATATGTATGATCTACATTGAGGGATAGATATAATTGAATTACAAGAAATAAGTCATCACAAAATAAGAGGAAAGCTCTCATGTTGCAAGAACATTTTCAATCAAGTAAATGAATACTAACTTTGGACACTTTATCCAATATTACAATATTCAAAAACGTTCATGAATCACAACACTCCCACCCCCCATTTGTTTTCTAGCAGGGACATACAGCATTATATGTATTTGGATTATACTTGTGCACCAGTGCAGAGATGGGATTTCAATTATTTTAGTGTCTGATAGAGGATAATTAAATTATTTCCCATGAAGATCGACTTTTTTAGATGGTGTTAGAACCTACAAGTTTAGTTACAAGGTTATCCAGGTGTACAACAAGATGGAAATCAGCACTGGGGATAAGCATTTTACTTGGCTCTACGCATCTAAGCAGACGCAAGCAGCAGTTTCCAGCTATTTTTTAAAAAAAGTTCTGAGCAGTTATCATGTTCAAGGGAGGGGATAGATGAAATATCGTAGCTTGCTGTGAGAGAGAACTTCAACAATAAGATTCATGCAAATTACATTTATTAATGGTTTGAAAATTTTGATTTGAGATTGAGACTACATTTTACTGGCATTGACTAAATTAAAATTGTGTTTTGGTTAGAAAATGCTGTTTCACGCCATCAGAAAGTGCCAGATTAAGAACAGATTTCAAGGAGAAGCACAGATGAAAAGTAGTATCTTCACGGGAATCTTAGTGGCACAATAGTTTCCATTGCCATTTCACTGAGCATTGAAAACAGCTTGGGTTGATGTGCTAAACAAATTTTCTTCTTCTGAACGAAATAGCTGAGCAGTTACGATCTGCTGGGAATAACTGCCTATGACTCGAAAATGCCTATGACAGCCACAATTTTATGTACTGGGGCTAATGTTTTAGAAATGTACTTGTGAAGCACAGGTGGGACATTGTAGAAAAACAAGAACTTCATTTTAACCCAGGTTATAACTAATATAGGAGTGCCTGTTAAGACCACTAATTGCAAAGAGAGGAAAATGAGGCAGTTCACAAGCATTGACAAAAATCCATTTAGTTAGAAGATCGCAAAGGAAAATCTTCTGAAAACCAATCACAGAGTGAATTTAAGCATCAATATATGCAATTCCATGTGCAGTGGTACTATTTCATTGCATCTTACAAGGGAATAGTATAACCTCAATCTATATAAGTGCAGTTTGAATTGTAAGCATTGTAAGAACCCAATGGTCCCATCAAGGATTTAAATCTCTTAAAACTAATTACTGAAACACCACACCCATCTGTAAAATAAAAAAAAACATTGGTGTTGAGAATTTCTAATGGACAATGCTATGGTTCAGTTGGAAAAGGTACAGAAGAATTAGCTTAATCCATACAAATTAACAAAAATTAAATAAATCCTCCCAAAGTAAAACAAAGGATTACAAGGTGGAAAGCCATTTACCTTATATTCATCTGCAACACTAAATAGTGTGATGACTTTATTTGCATCACAGACTGCAAGGAAGGCACCGTCAGGAGAATAAGCAACAGCAGTCACTGGTCCCTTAGCTTTCAAGGTCTTCACACCATCATTTTCTTTCAGTGTATTCCCTTGAATAGAATACATGTATATGTTGCCATCCTAGTGGTGCACAAACAGATGATAGTTAAGAATTCTGTTAAAGTATGGAACTGTTTTTTTTAATCCTACAACCTTTAAGTCACACATTCTTAAAATGTTCCACTGTATTCAAACGCTAACCTCTTTAATTTTAAAAGAAAAATCCACCAGGTGTTTCGCTAAATGTCTTTGAAGTGCAAATATTAAACACAACATCATTATGCATGGCAAATTACTTTTAGCTTATCATAATTTGGATGTCAAAACACATTGCATCTCTGCAATAGATGTTATACAAATGAAGTTAAAACAGGATTAAAGTAAGTCTCCACACTGGACTAAAAATAATTCAGTTAATTGACAGTAGAGTGTATGAATCGAATTGTTTTTCATGCTGAAAGTCACTATTACCCAATTAGAACTAGAACCAATAATGGCATTGTTTAAGAATAATAAAAACACCAATTGTTACTACCAAGAAATAAAAATAAAAAATGCTTTCCGACATTACAATTTGTAACAATATGTATTTTATAAAGAATTTCTATACATTTGCTATAGTTTAATAATAAAGATTTCAGTTTAGCAAACCATTCAAAATGCTAATTTTTTAAAAAAAACACAACACTCAACTCTCTTCCCTCCCTCCACAAATATCAAAATAGAAAAGCAACAAGAATCAGTTGAAAAGGAATCTTACTTCTCCTCCAACAGCCACAGTCACTCCTCCGGGGTGAATTGCCACAACCTGTGCTTTGTAATTAAGATTCTCCAATTGACAAACTTTCTTCTTCTCCTTAAGCAGTACAACCTGTGAATTAAGAGTTTCAGAATTTTATCCAAATATTTCATTTGTAGACTAAACATCAAAAGAGCTTAAGAATTACAAGAAAATGTAACCTTGCCATGAGAAATCATGAGGAAACAAATTGGGAGTTCGGACTCCCAAAATGACAAAAGAAAATGAACTCATGATAGCACAAATAAATTAACCACCAGATTTGAGCTAGATAGGAATAGTATTAAATCCTGGTGTACTTTACTCTTTCCAGGTCTAAAACAAATTCACTAAGGAAGCAGGTAAGGAGAAAGAGGAAGAAAAGCAGGGGGTCTCTCTTTCAGTTTAATTGACTTGAAGGAGACATGCTCTGTAAAGCTAGACGTGTCTACAGTAACCCAACATGTGAAGATACTTTCATAGATATGGTAATAATTTTAGAACCTCAAAGTGGTGCAGGCTGAGTGGTTCCTTTAATATTCATAACTAAAATTTTCTGATTCCAAATTTAGTACTCAACTGACTGAGGTACTCCAGACAATATTTAATATGCAGTTGAGAAATAATGCATCAGTCATTTTCTACATTTTCTTGTTATTTCTAAGGAGTAGATTTCACACTGGATTAAAGATATTGAGTTTCACAATCAAATTAGTATAAAATACACAATTACTTAAGCATGATGATTCCAAAATAGGAGATCCAAGGTAAAGTTGATAATGAAACTGAAGATTTTAAAAAGCAAGTCTTTTATGCACCACGTAGATAAAATAATCTTCAAAATAGCATCTACAAACAGCCATGATTGTAAAATTACCTGCTCCATGCACACCACCACCGTATAACCACCAGGACCAACTGCCAGAGACTGGGGTTGAACATCCAGCTTTACTGTATCTTGGGCACTACAAATGAAGTACAACCATGATTTTACTCACAACTTTTAATTTTTCATGGAGCAATCCTACTTTAGTGCTACATAAATTATACAGCTAGGATATGTGGAAATCAATAATGTAGGCTCAAAACTATAGAAAATTACACATTTTTCCAATGAGAGTTGAAACAGCAATATTTCAAAATTACTTGATTGAGTACCACACGTGGGATCAAAGGATTTAGATTGGCAGGGTAATGAATGCAGGAAGCTAGAATGTTGATAAAATACTAGATATAAAACACATCCTCCTCTGGGCGACGATGAGGACGGGGAGAAAGAGAGAAGGAAGGTAACCAAAGTCTTTGGCTTATCGAATAAACATGCCGTCAGAAAGCGAAGTCCTAGCTTTTAGATGTACGATGGTGCTTAAGCCCTATAGCTCCTGTTACTTAGATTTAGTGAGAACACACATAAACATATCAAATAGGTTCCAATGAACAGATAAAACTGCGGAATGGCATTGGAAAGTGATGACCCATCAACTGATTAGTTGGTCAAGTCACTACCATACAGTGAAAATCCATAATATGGATTTGTGAAGTCTTGCATTCAATGCTTTGTTAACCACTCCACTGATAGTCAGTAGGGGATAAACAAAAGGTTTCAGCACCACAAGCCTTGACTAAATTAAGTTTTTTTTTTTAAAAACCACCCCCCCCCCCAAACCACAAAATGCAAGTGCCTACGGGATTGTGGTTACAAAAGCAGAGACTGGAAAATTGAACCTTAAATATAAACTACATCAAGAGCAACAAAAATAAAGCTGCAATCAGGTAATATGGTAACTTACTTGTACTCTTTCTTACACAGATTTGTGAAACGCAGAGTATCATCCATTCCACAGCTGACAAGATCGCCTGAATCATTGACTGCCATAGCATTCACCTGGTTGGTGTGTCCCTTCCCTAAAAATCCATCATTGTCTCCCGTCCCAGCATCCCAGTAATGTGAAGCCATTATAGTTAAGGAAATTAAATGCACTGTTTCAATCTTGTCGCACACAATTAATTAATTATTCTTCGATATTTGGAAGAGGAAATCTTATTGAATAATAGCTACCACCCACACATTACAGTGACTAAAAATTGTATTCCAGCACTGCTAAAATGTATTTTTTTCTGACCTTCATCAAACATAAAGCTACAATTTGATGGGCGAGTCAAATTTAAGAAAATAAAGTCGTTTTGTGATCAGTGTCCAAAAATAAACACAAAAAAAACGACATGCCTCATTTCAGTATCAATGGAATGTTGCTGACACAAATTTATACATCTTTCTCCAACGTTAAAGATTGAAAACACAATACAACTATAGTTCTAGGCATTATCCCAATAATCCTAAAACTTCGGAAGGAAGACAAGTAAATAAACAACCTAGGTTAATAACCAAGGCTGATAATGAATTACACCACCAAAGTTGAAAAGGGTAGCAGAAAGATGTGATATATCAAGAACTGCTTAGGTTGCATGAGCAGTAAAGAGTTAAGGAAGCAAGACATCCCATAGTATTAAGGTCCTGGAAAGAATCGTTTAGAATACAAGAGCGCAAGTAGTTTTGATTTAAACATTGAAAATGTGCAAGACAAAATTAGCTATGGGATGATATTTGAAATTTGGGAGCAGGAACACAAAAAACAAGTCTTGAGAAGCGATAACAACACACTGGTAGAGATCCCGAAAAGATTGTGGGGTGGAGGGGGGAGGGGGAAAAAAGAGTCTCTCTTAAAGATACATTAAAATTTCCGCAGTAGGAAAGAAAATTCAGACCCACATAGTGATTACCATTGGGACTAGAGACCTTATTTGATCCAATGGAGTGCAGTCGGCATTCTAATAAAACTAATGGGTTTAATGAAGAAAAGTGAGCCAAAACAGCCACTTACCTGGAACAGCTATATTACTGAATCTGTTTTTATTTCAGCATTAAAATGAACACTCTAAACACTCAGGCCAGACTGCTTAATATGTAGTAATATTGTAATGGAATATCCTTGGATGCCTTGACAATTAAAATGGTGAGAAACTTTGATAAGATAGAAATAGGGTAGTATACAACTTGAACTGCGAGTAGGAATATTAAATTAGCAAGCATTCGTTCACCCAACTCAACATTGGAGAAATATTTTGTGGTTAATTTATGGGAATAGCTTTTATAGCCTACGAGATAAACTAAAAACACTAACTGCAAAAAGGATATTGATATAACCATCGTGGCTGCCTGAATAGATGTAAGGTTTCCCATCGTTGGTATGTACAGTCAGAGACTGTATGGATTTGGTGTGACCCTAGAAAGAAAAGCAACATGATTAAAACCTGCATACCAGAACTACTGATTTCTGTACCAACATCTCAAATTACTATCTACAATACAAAATTACATTTATGTAGCTCCTTTCAAGTCTAGTCAAACTGTAGAATGGCCTTTTGTGCCAAGAATGTTCTTCTAGTCTGTTCCTGACGGAGGATTCCTGGGACATGGTTTGACATGCACCATCATTACCTTGTCCAAATGCTTTGACAAGAATGTGTAGACACTCATTTGGCTATAGAGAGCATCACAGCAGAATTCAATCTTGTCCTCAACCAATATCTATGGTGCAGTTGATTCCTTGATGTAGCCACACGTGTAATGAATTCTACCACCCTAACTACCTGAGTGAAGAAATTGTTTCCAACCTCAAGAATAGCAACTCTGGTAGATTTTCCAACACAAGAATTACAAATGCTGATTTACCCATTTTAGTTTTTCATTTCCTCAATTTAAATAGCTTAATCACACAGCTGTGACATTGCTGGTTGTCCCAATCTTTCCAATCAGGGAACATGCAGAGCCAAATGTTGCCACTTTAGCAAAAACTACATAGCCATCATTGCTTTCGATTCCACCATACAAAGTACAGTGAGCAGGATCCTACCACCAAGAGCTTCATGACATTTCATGCCAATTCTGTATTCATATGCCTTAGGTGTACTGAAGATCAGAAATATTTTAAATACACAAATATCAGAATCTAGTTCGTTTTTGTAAGCCAACTGGCTTGTGAAATTCTGGAGCTACATAGTTTTTACTTGGAGTCATATTTTCCAATACCTTAGTAATTCATTGCTGTTAAGATTTGGGGGGAAAAAAACAATATTACCTCCAAAAAACTTGCAGCCATTTAAAAAAAAGCTTTCAGCTCAAAGTAAGCTGCAACGTCCTCTGCTAAAGGACAAATCTTTCTCCAATTTATAGTTCCAGAGAGGATTCTGTCCATAATAATTTCTAACACAATTAGTAACATGGACCCAAGAGGATACATTTCTTCTTAATGAATAGAAATGATGCGACAGGTATTACAATCTGAGATGATAACAGAAAGTATTAAGGAGGCCTACAGTGGTTACAGTTCAAAACAGTGTAACTTCGTGAACTCAAAACACAATACATAGTATGTAAAACAAGCAGCATTGGTTTAATAGCTGGATGGAACCTATAATAATAATAATCCTTGCATTTGATATAGCGCTTTTTATGTCGGGAGGACATACCAAAGCGCTTCACAGAACACAATGTAAAGTGAATTGACTATATTTGTGGGCGAACGCGACAGCCAATTGCGCACAGCAATGTCCCACAAACAGTCGTAGATTGAAAATGACCAATTTATTATTGTTTTTGGTTTTTGGAGGGATTATTATTAGGCTCTGTGTGGAGTAAGGAAACTTGCCCAAGGTTTCGCCCTCTGCCTGGAATTGAACTCAGGTCTCTCGCTTGCGAAGCGAGTGCTCTAACCACTGAGCTACATAGTATCCTTTGCATGGGGAGAACAACTTAAGACTGATTGGGAGGTGTAGCTGGGAGGTAGACAGAAGCAGAAAGCAGTCAGACTAGTTTTGAAAACAGAGAGGGATGGGCCAAGTAAGAGGTATTTTGGAAGAGTTCCAGAGGGAGGTGGCACGTAGGTATAAAGTCTGCTGACATTGGTGAGGAAGAGGGCTTGTTCCCTATACATCTCCTCTCAATGTTTATTCAATTCCCTTTTAAATGCTATCTCATTTCTCAATCTCAATAACTGAATGTGGCAAAATATTCTAGTTACCCAACACAAGTGTATCTCCTAACCTCCCCCTCAACTTTTCCAGTGCCAATCCTGATTTTATGCCATCTAATTACTGATGCCACCTGGTAGAAATACTTTCTCAGAATTTTGAAAACTATCTTATTAGATCCATACCTTAACTTTTGTTCCAATGAAAATAACCCAATCCAATCTTCAAAAATAATAATACTTTAATAGTAATACTGTAGTACTCTCCATGTATGTAATACACCAAATTTTAGATTGGATTCAAAGTTTTTGCATTTCCCATTACACTTGGTGGGGGGGGAAGAAGGGGAAATAAGCATCCCTAAAAGCAGACATTCAACCTAAAGAAATGTAATAAAGAAATCTGTTAAATTCAAAGAAAAATACTACAATGTTAGGATTGCAGTATTTTACTTTGACCATTAAAAAAAAAATTTAAACTTGAAAAGTTGCAGAATATACAACATGGAATGCTTGTGTACATTATGTTATAGTCTAACAGCTTTTAATGCAGGATTCAAGTACAGAGCTTCAACAAGCTTATATCTCCCATTTATTCCCTAGTATTTTGCACAAGATATTCTCTCTAACCTACTAATTGAGAATACAATCTATGATACCATACTTAATATACTAAATGAACATACCTTGATGATGCGGATAGGCTTGCTCGGATTTGCTTTATCCAGATAGTTAATAAAGCCAGAAAGAGAAATGGACAACAGATGACTCCCCTGCCATAAACAGCCCAGCTGCTGGTCCAATACATCATTCCCCATATTAAACGTGGTTACCACAGAGTTGGCACCAACATCCCAAATCTTGGTAGTCTTATCACCAGATGCAGAGAGAAGACATGTACTGTCAGAGCTCCAACTGATCTGTAAAAGTCATGAGTAGCACAAAACAAAATAAGTAACAAACTTGCGTTGTATTGGATTTTATACTAATGATGCATTGGAGGGCCAGTAAGTGTGTTCAAATAAGTTTCAGCATGATTTTAAATATTACACAAGTACCTTAAAACATTTTTGGATTAAAGAAAAAGGAAACTAGATTCCTGTAAATTTTCCTGTAGTCTACCTTTCTCCAGATCTAGGTGGACACCTGAAATATCCAATCTAGGATTCATGTTAAGTACTTTTAAAATCTAGCGAGAGAGTTATTTGCAAACAACAGTGCATCCAAAGACTTTCTCTTTCCGTCAATTCTATTGTTTACAACAAGGGGAATTAGCTACCTAAAATAGTGGCGATTTAAAACTCAGATTGCACAAACAATTCAGTTTCATTAGAATATATTTCTATTTTAGAAGGATCTTGTGTAGGATGGATCAGATTACCCACTACATGGGGTTAAAGGAATACACTTATTCTTAAAAGTAGCAGTAAATCTAATGAAGATTTTTTAAAAAAATTACAGCATAGATTCCTCCATTGTGGGCCTTGTCTCCACCAAGTGCACATATCTTCTCTGAAGTCTTCCCATCATAGATAAAAATCTATTGTGAACAAAAGGTTAAAAGTGCAAATTGAGTAGCATACAGGAGAAATGTATAACCAGATTAATCTGAAACACAAAGATTACTGAAATTGAGGACTTGGGGGAAAAAAATCACAAGTCTACAATCAAAAATGTACATACTGATCTGTAAATTGAATCCGGCCATAAAACATTTACATTCAAAGCATTTGGGTGTTAAAAAAATTCAGAGCTAATACATTTTCAACAGAGTGAAATATACTTTTTTTTAAAAAAGCTACAACGTATATAGTAAAATAATCACAAGTTCTAAGAATATGTACCAGCATTTTACTACCTAATAATTTTTTCAAAAATTCTGCTGGATGTGATAGGTCACTCAAGTCTACAGGTAAGTGAATATTAAAAGATTATCTAAAGAGCAGCTTCAATCAATTCACTGCAGCCAACAAGGTCACATCATTCACAAAACAGAAGGTCAGCCCATCCGATCTACGCTTATTTCAAAGCAAGGTACTAAAAAGGAATTATTGATGGTTTGTCTCTGCTTCAACTCCCACCCCTTAAGCTATTATGGTAGATGAGCAGAAGCCAATCATTTGCCTAATGAAACAGTAGTTGCACTGATTAGTAAATATCTGAAGTGATAATGAGGCTTTACAAAAATGCAGGTTTATTTTTTTAATAAGAATACTTCTATTAAATCAAATTAGACTGAACAAAAAAAGCCTGCTGTTTTTTTTGGAAAAAAAAGCTGAGTGAAGAGAGCAAAAGGAAGCCAATACTGCACATTTACTTCTTAATCAAAAGGCACATTCTGATCTATTGGCTAGAAAATCAAACATCATAAGTAGTTTCAAACTAAATTGTTTGTAGGTGGGGGGAGAGTGAAAAACCTTAAGATGCCTTAAACCAGCAAAGTTATTCAATATAGACAATCAAATTAGACCCTTTCAACCCCACCCTAAGAGGTATTTTCCCCTTATAAAGAAACAAAAATGCTACAGGTGAGATTTCCACAGTCCTTTAAGAATGTGAGAGGCTGCAATGACAGTCATTACTCCTTATAAGCAATTCACAAATGTATACAATAAGCCACACTTCCCCAAAGAGTATTCGAATTAGGATAAAATTGATTACAACCTCCAGAGCTGCAAGCTTCTAGATTTTTCAAAACTAATTGAAATGGACCAAACCTCCATCTTGTTGATTTAATGGGATTACTACTTAACCTCCTAGAATCAGAGGGGAGTGAATCTATCAGCAACATGTTAAAATATTTAAACACTTTGCCTTCAGACGGCCAGATTTTTATAATGCTCATATTCTAAGTCATTTTTAATCAATGATTCATCTGATCAGTTTGAATTTTCTGCCGTGAGATAAATTATAAGATTAAGACTAGCTGAACTTTGTCAATATCTGCTGCACTAAAGTGCAGCACGTGGACAATGCAAACACATTAAAAAAACTAAATGAAAATCACTATATCTAACTAAGAAGTTTTTTTCTTAGATGATGTCATAATAATTTAGGTCTGCTCTTACCTGCCCGTCTGAACCACAGGAAGCATATCGGTTCCCATCAGGAGAAAATCGCACACAGTTAACAAAGCGGCCGTGGTGCTAAGGAAGAATAATTTATGGAAAAACACTGTTATCTTCACAAACAGGAATTACCTTCTTCAACATCAGAAAATACCATTCAAACCAACTGGAGATTTACCGCAATGCATAACCTAACAATAATTTCATACATTCTGTTAAAAAGTCAAATCTCTTAAAATCCATTTAGATCATAAAAAATGAACTACTAGTTTTCTCTCATATTTGAAATTCTAAATACAACAATATGAATGAAGTATGCAAGAAATGCAATGCTTCCAGTTTCTTCCAAATCTTAGGGAACAAAGTACAGTAGAGTCTAGTTAGTTACTGAGCAACTGCTAAGCTTTATTTGAACAGTGATTCCAATTAATGTTCAGAGCTTAAAATAAATTGTTTGTATAATATCTACCATGACTCCTGTGGTAGAAAATGCAATATCTCACACAGAAGGTGAAACTTTAATCCAATGAAATCTGTTTAATGAATCCAGACATACTTTAGTGAAGGAATCCTACTTCTCAATTTACAATATCATAATGAAATTACAGTCAAACATCATTAAAAAGTCAATGAGACTAAAAGCAGTTCAGGGATTTTATTTTGAATTTAGCTTTGGCCTATGAAGTTTCAACCTAAACTAGGGTACACCTTAGTTACAAAGCTTCAGTGTGGACTTGAGGAATATCTGAACACTTTTTTGGTCAGCCACAGAAGAGTGAATCTGTACATTATTCATATATGGGGCAGTTCATCTTACATGTCATGGAGAGAAAATGAAATACAACCTTTTTTCAGATTAATACACACAATATCCAAGAAGAAACAGTCCCTATATAAACAGAAACCATATCCAGGTCAAATGAAATATGATTAACTACCTACAAATATAATCTATGGATTCCTAATTCTGAATACAACCACCAACCTATTAACAGAACAACCTTATCCAATATCCCCATTTTTTCTCTCCTGAGTTCCCTAGGCTATGAAGAAAGACAGTCTATATTCTGAATTTGCAATCTATGTGTAGAAAGATGCTATCTTAAAGTCTCAATCCCAGTTTTACCTTTCAGAATTTGGAACCGACTTTCCATATAAAAAGGTCAGAAAGATTAAATTGATCTCGTTTAAAACCAGTGCACCTCTGATGAAGGGATAAACATATAGATGCGAGTTAAACATATAGTTCAGGCTGGCATTTGGACATGTTTAAAAAAAAAGTAGCCTTTTAAAAAAAGACAAGCAATAAGATTTGAGTCAGTTAAAACATCTTTCAATCAGATAAATTAATCCCATTAACAAGATTAACAGAAAGGGGAGGCTACACTGTACCAGAGCAGCATTTACCAGAAAAGTCTGAAAACTTTTGCCTTAAAGTAATCCACCCAAGTGATGGTAGGGAGGGTGGGGGGAGTGGGGGGGTGTTTGCTTAAAAAAGAAACTATGACCCCCAACCCGGGACAATTAAATCTAATGAGGTAAGGAAAAGAAGCAATCAAGATGGAAGAAATAGTCTCATTACTACAGTAACATGAAGCCCTACTAAAATTTCATTCAGACTGGATATTTTGAAACATAGAAATGTTTTTAAAAGTAGTAGTTTAAGCATAACTTTACTTACATTGTTTGAAATCTTGAACTTGAAAGGAGGTCCCTCCAAGAACACAGTGGTGAAATCATCACTACCAGTCGCTATTCGGTAGGGTCGAGTTTGTTTTATATCAACGCTGTTTATGATTTTACTGTGGCCTGAAATCTCTCCAACAGAAGATCCACTGTCCCAAAGAAAGACTGATCCAAATCTGTAATGGTTCATACAATTCATATTTTGTAAGAACTGATAGGAACTGCTAGTGCGAGATGCACATTTTCATTGTCATTCTTGCAGCTGTTAGTAGATATTGATGTACAACAGAATCACATTCAAAAAAACACTGTGTGCAAGCAACATCTTCTGAACTGAAGCTCCTCACTGATAATGTACAAATCAAATTGGACTTTAGAATATTCTCATTGTACAATTCATGCAATTTAACAATGCATTTTGCAAAACCGCACATCGACTTAGAAGTAATTATAATTCATGGTGAATAAAATGTCTAAAATGCTGGTTACAGGTTTCAGAGATAAATGGCAGCACGTTTTTATTAGTCAACATGAAAGATTAATGACTGACTGCCACATATGTATTTTGACAAAGAGCAGTAAACAGTATCCACATATTTGCCAATTCCCCCAACCAATTCATTACTGAAAGCCTTCATTGTTGGCAACCCTCCAACAATTTAGCAAAGTTCCCATGCTTTATGTGCAAAGCCGGTAGGGCTCGTGGACATCAAACGGATCACGGTGCAAGTTGGTGGCAAGGTTCTAGCGTGATTCACTCCTGGATCTTCCCATTATTATGCTTTATACCGTGCTTGATCAAATGCAAATCTGTCGTAGAACTGTTAAGATTGCTAAGGTATCCAGGATGCAGCATCATTTTTGGAAAACAGTTTTTCTTTTTGCTGTTGATCCAAATTCTCAAACACTTCAGCCCAGTTTCTAATTTACAATGATACTTGAGATAATCTGTTGCTCAAAAGCCCCAAATCTTTTTTTATATAAAAGTGTTGGGAGAATATCCTAGTTTATATCAGTTGAATACTTCTCACTTGCAGAATTTACGTATCACTGTTGGAACTGCTTTCCTTCTCATCTCTCGCTGACAACATTTAACAATTATCTTGCAAAACCCATAGCATACTGAATTCTGGCTTGACGAGCAAGACATCTGTTCCCCTAATCCAGTTTCACACTCTAAGGGTAGTAAGTTGTAAAATTAAAAGCCTGAATGTGGAACTACAGGTTCCCAAATACACCTCCAAAGGGCAAAGAGGTCATTGGGTACAGTTGGAGTAACAATAAAGCACTCAAAACACTTTTTGTAATCCTAAAAGGAACACCAAATGCTGAAAGGGTTACCTTCAGTTTATTTGATTCCCTTCACTTATGATAGAAAAGTAATTTTACAAACCAATGTCTAAAACGCAGCCTTATTGCTTCCTCAAAATCTCAGAACTGCAAGAACTCAAAAAGTTCCTTGTTCTACAATCTGAAGACTTACATTTCCTTTCCTTCTCCAACAACAGCAATCCTTTTGCTATCTTCAGTCCAACAAATATCCTTAATTTTTCCTGCAAAAGGGCGGTACTCATACTTGAGGATATGCTCCTTCTGAGTGGTATCCCAGATTCGAACCTTTCCAGAAACATCTACCATAAAAACAGAACAATCAGTATAGGACATCTATAGCACAGAAAAATAGATTTCAGACTAAAGGCCAGTGAACAGCAATTCTTGTTCAGTTTTACAAAGAAGCTAGTTTAAGATTTAAACAGCAGGTGTGTAAAGTTATAATTGTACTATTATTGTGGTTTCTGATGACACCTGCTAGAGGCACACGGAAATCCGAGAAGTTTCACAGGTTGGATCCACTGGCAATTATGATGCCAAACACACAAGAAAATCTCAGTAGGTTTAGATAGCGTTGAAACAGTATTTAGAAAATACATCAATACGATTCTTAAAAGGAAACTCATCAACTTGCTCATTTTTTCAGTCTTGTGAAATTGATTCCTTGCACTCACCAATTAGGCATCAAGAAGTGTGTACGCACCATATATATATATATAAAATATGACATACACACACACACACACGCATATACACACACATGCATATACACACACATGCATATACACACACACGCACACACACGCATCCCAATTTTCACTCAGAAGGTCGAGTGTTCACTTTCCACATTCCTCAGAATTGCTTAAAATAACTATATTCAAGTCTCATTGCTCCACCAGCTGTGTTATGACTGGAAGCCTAAAATACAGCTAAATACTTGCAATCATACCACTAGATTTGGCAAGGAATACTGTAATTTAATCATAACCAAAATCATTAGGCATTCCACAGAATTTAAGGCATTAATAAACTAAGTAAAATTTAAAAACAATTGTGCTTATCTAGAGAAAGCCAGGACAAATGGAAAAAGGAAGTTATATAACTTCAAATTCTTCCATTGTGGACTATAGATTTACTCACATATATGACAAGTATTCTAATCACAAATTTACCACAAAAAACATAATGCAACACTTCCAAATGGACACACCTCCTGAAGCTATGTAGAATCCACTAGGTGAATACTTAGCAACAAGCACTTGATGAGCATGTTCAGTGTATACATCTGCAATGTCTGGATGCTGGAAAGAGGAAACAGGTTTTGTAAGTTCTGAAATAACTTGCAAACAGAAATGCATGTACAGAAGTAGAAGGGATACTTTACTTCAATATCCCTTATGATGACGCTCTTGCCATTGGTGTAAATAAAGTTCTTTCCTTTAGGGTCACCTCCGATGATCTTTGAAATACCTCTTTCCATCTGAGGCAGACTGCTAAATATTCCCTCTATTGAGAAACAAAGAGATGCAAATCAGCATCTTAAAAAGCTGGAAAAAGTAATCTGCAATCATACCTTTACCAAATCTGGAAGATTACAATTTCACTTTTAAGACGGTGTATTGTATAAAAGATACATAATGGGGAAACAATAACTTACATTAGCATAACAAGAAAACATATCCCATTTTCCCACATGCCCTTTTAAATTTTGTTTTTTCAGTTGCTTTTTAAGAAGTTAATATGGATTCCACATCAGCCACTGTTCCTGTTAGGGCATTTCATGTCCTCCTAACAGCCCTCTACGTAAAAGAAATTCTAAGGTCTCCCTTTGGTAATAGACTTCTGAAACATCTCCCTTCCAGGGAAAATAGACCTAGTTTCTCCATTCTTTCCTCATAACTAAAACCCCTGGTATAATCCTCGTGAATCACCTGTGTCCTTTCCTGCAGCTTTGACATCCTTCCCTTAGTGAGGTACCCAAATCTGACACAATACTCCAACTGTGACATAACTAAGAATTTATGCAGGTTTAGCATCATCCCTTTCCTTAAATATTTATATGCACCTTATTTATAATCCTTAGGATTCTAATAGGTTTTGTTTGACAACTTTCATTAACTTGTCCTCCTATTTTTAAAGATTTGTGCATACTGGACAACCTGCATTATAACAACAACAAAATTACATTTGTATAGCGCCTTTCACGTTGTGAACAGTTCCAACAGTTTACAATATCAGCTGTGCTTTTGAACTTTCCCCCATGTCCTTCCAACATATTGAAAGTTTTAATTACACTCGATCTCCTTAATTGATTTACAACCCAAAATCCTTCCAATGTTCATAATTATGTAATCAATTTATATTAGACTTGATAATTTATAGATGTAATATTTATGGCATAATGTTGTGCTCTTAGTTTCTACATTGTCATCCGTTTGCATCTAAGGTACTCAATTTTTCATTCATTTCAACAAGAACGTAGTCAAATTCATTATTCCCTATAAATCAGAAATAACTCTTCCACATCCTATTTCACCACTTCTAACAAATAATTGGCAGTAAAATGCAACTTCTTAAGGTTACAACAGCATTATCTTCACACATAATTAAACACAATATACTGTGTTAGTTAAGAGTCAATCTACCATTTCCCACAAAACAGTAACAATTCTTCAATACAAAGATAATATTGGCCTCTAGTAACTCAAATTAATTATTATCCTTTACTTTTTTGCATATATGCTTTATGTGGAGTCCTGTAGCTCAGTGGTTAGAGCACTCGCTTTGCAAGTGAGAGACCTGAGTTCAATTCCAGGCAGAGGGCGAAACCTTGGGCAAGTTTCCTTACTCCACACAGAGCCTAATAATAATCCCTCCAAAAAAAAAACAATAATTAAATTGGTCATTTTCAATCTACGACTGTTTGTGGGACATTGCTGTGCGCAATTGGCTGCCGCGTTCGCCCACAAATATACAGTCAATTCACTTTACAGTGTGTTCTGTGAAGCGCTTTGGGACGTCCTCCCGACGTGAAAAGCGCTATATCAAATGCAAGGATTATTATTATTATTATCTGGCTGTCAATCTAGGCTGTGAGGTACAGCCTGACTGCTAGTAGCAGAAAGCTGTGGGTTCAAGCCTCATATCATATACTGCAATAAAGTTCACTCCAATAGAGTTCTGAGGAAGAAAGATGATCTTTGAGGTAACTTTTTCCAAACGATACATTGAAAACCAATCTTGTCTGCCTGTTCTTCTGGTGACTTTTATAGATGCAAAGACACAATTGAAACACAAAAGGGAGTTTCAAAACATATTCTGGTTAACAATTGGTTATTCATTCCTAGCTATTTGCAGGACCTTGCTGTGTGCAAAATGAACATTTTGTGGAACCAACTGCAGGAGGCACTATACTCAGTAATTATACTGAACACTTGAGATGGCAACGTGATATAGCATTAAAAAATCAAGTTGCTATAAGTGGCTTCACACTTGCAATTTGTGTTTTTCTATCTTGATCCCTCAACATTGTCCATCAACCCAGTAGATAAATTTTACTTATAGTTTCCCATAAATTAATCTACTCATTTTTCTTAATTTTGCTGTTTCCATTTTATTATTGTTTATTCAAACAGTTTGTCCAAGATCAAAAGCTACAGCTTTAAGGATAACAATTAACTGATAATTTTCTTCAATACTTCAAATTCTACAGTTTTTTTAAAACTATATATAATAAAAAACTCCAATTCATATTATTCTACACCTGGTCACCTTGAAAAAAAGATTTCTTGCAAGTTAGAATAAAGTGTTTAAATCATCCAGAACAATAAAAGAAAGCAATGCTGTATTGGTTTCTTTTATTGTTATATAAAAAATGATTTATAAGATTTTTTAAAAAAATTGGGTCAGTCAGGTGTCTGACACATGCTGGAACTGCTTCAGAGAATCCAAACCAGACAGATTTCCACATATCTACGGCACCTACGTAAGGAAATTTCCCTGCGTCTTTAAAGGAATGTGCACTCTCTCCCTGGAGGGATGCACCATGCTAATTCTGAAAAGTTTTCAGCACAGGTTGGCAAGAGCCCAAAGCTTGGAGTTCCTAAGTGTGTGTTGGGATACTGCTGGAGCTGATAGGAAATTGCTTTTTTTACTCCCAATATTTGCATGGAAGATGGAATAATAGTGTCATAATTATCAAGAGCCCCAGGGGAAATAAGTTTATCGTTTGAGCAAGCTTCATATTATCCATATGACACTCTGCAAAACTAGATCTGATGTGCCTATTAAGGTCTTTTCAGCATTTAAGTCAGTTAGAACCATACCCGTTCTTGATTAGTGATACACAAATGATTGGAACCAACAAATAAAGCACACTTACAGTTCAAACTGCTAACACATTTAATTTCTGAGCTAAATCATGTGCAGCACATGGTGCACAATTCATCAAGTTATGGCTGCACTCTTCACACACTATTTACAATAGATGTCGTAGACACTGCTTAAAATAAATCGTCATTGCAGTACACGTTAACTACATTAATACAGAATCAGTTTGAGACAATTGTTCTGAATAGAATACCACCTGTGGTACCAGCCGGCTGACATGCAACACAAAGTTACAATTGCCAGGTGACTCCCCAAACCTCGCCTCTTGCCAACCTGCACTAAATACTTTCCAGAATCAGGTAAACCGGATGCATCGCTCCAGGGAGAGAGAGTGCGCATTCCATTCCAATAATCTACCTCTGCAATTTCTACGTGTGGGTGGGATGCACGGAAATCTCATCTCGGTTGGTGGATACTCTTAAGCACGGTGACGGGTTTCCGCACGAGTCAGATACCTGGCTGACCAAAATAAAAAAAAAACCTCGCGCGTTAATTCCAGTGAATTCTAATTCAGGTTAAACCTAATGTGCCTCGCCACACAGCACAAAACTCACCCCAACAAGTTATTGTCCAATAAACGTCTCCACAACTTCTATTTTTGGGCAACGCAGAATTATACCGGAGAGCGAAACTAAAGCCAGAATGAAAATCTGAAATACTCCGATCTAAAATTAAAGTGGTTGACTTTTATTAATTTTTTTATTGGGGGGGGGGGGGGGAGGGTGGGAGGGGGGGTCTGAGGCGAAAACCAATACGGAAATCTGGGGCGAGAAGGTCCAAAAAAATAAATGCAATATTGTATGTACTGCACTGCCAAAAAAAAAAGTCAAATGGCAAAACCAATCTGGAAGGAGTGGGATACCAGGACATGGTTAAGCAATTCCAACAACCAGTACATATCACACACTCGTTCGGCCCTTTCTGACTTCCCCAAATAAGTATGAAGTTTTTTTTTTAAAAAAAAGGCAAACGGTCACCAAGAATGTTTTCTGCTGCGGCCAAAAGGGAATCGTTTTTGAATTAGATCACTTGAGGGCGAAATTTTTTTTTTTGGGTGGAGAGGAGGGGGAGGAAAAACTTCCTCGACATTAATCGTCCACGTACACGTCTGGGGAGGGCGGGGAGGGAGTAGCCCCAAAACACTGCAGGTGTACGTCGCTATTTTTTTTAAAAAGAGAGACACGAAAAGCACAATATCGTGCAATCACTCTCGACTCCGACCAAGAAGAGGGCGTCGATCTGCAACTGCCACACAGTAATGACCGCGAATATCCCCCCAACCCCACACACACACCCCCACACCCCCCCCCACACACACACACCACCCCCCCACACACACACACAACAACTCTATCCTCACGAGAGGTTTGTTTATTTGCCTTTCGTCCGCTTCAGTTCGCAAAGTGCCGACTCCCAACGAAAAACCCAACACTTGTTAATGCCCCTCAGCCGCCGCCGCCCCCGGTTTCCAGATGAAAGATTCGGGTTTAACTCGTGACAAGATTTTTTTTTAAAAAAACCAAAAAAAAACCCTCCTCCTCCCCCCTCTTCACCCCAACCCCCAAATAATAAAACCCCCCGGGTCAGGACACGCCAACCCGCGGCACACGACAAGTCGAGCGCTTGGTTTAAGAGCAAAGAGGTTTTGGGGGTTAAACCCACAGAGAGAGAGACAGAGAGAGATGTGAGTGAAGCTCAACACAGTGATAGCAGTGACATGGAGCCGCGGAATGGGCGAGGCTCGGGCTCCGGGAGCCCTCGGGCTCGGGCTCGGGGAGCCCTCGGACTCGGGGAGCCCCCGGGCTCGGTGGGGCTCGGGCAGCCCTCGGGCTCGGGGCTCGGTGAGCCCTCGGGCTCGGGGGGGGCTGAGCTCGGGCGGGGGTTCGGGGCTCCTCGGCTCTTTTTATTTTTTTTGAGGCGGAGGGGCGGGCGGGTAAAAAAAATATTGGATCAGAATCAAAACTGATCCGAGCATTGCGAGCTGAGGAGGAGCTGAACAGCTGCCACTGCCGACCCCGCCGAACCGAGCCCGACCCGGCCCGGCCCGACCCGACCCGCAGCCATCACCAGAGCTCCGTGATAGAGAGATAGATAGATAGATATACTGTGCTGTGTAACCCCTCCCTCTCTCCCTCTCTCTCGCCTTCTCCGCGGCGCCACTTACTCAGTTCGTACGACATCGTTGCCACAGGATGGTTTCCGCGCTAATCGGGAGTCGGTGAACAAACCGCACGGGGACCGGGAGCGGGAGCAGCGCTGATCACACACCGCCGGGCCTCGCCTCTGCCTCTGCTCTGCTCTGCCAGCCTCCAGCAACCACACACACACACACACCGCCCCCCTCCCTCAGCTCCGCCAAACACACCGCCCTCGACTGAGAAAACAAACCCGGAAACAGGGCTCTCCGCGCCTGGCTCAGCGCTTTGACCATATATAGTCAAAGCCGCTCGGCAGCTCTGCTCTGAGCCTCCGCGAGCAAACGGGGAGCCGGCGGCCGCCCGAGCCCCGCCCCCTCCTTCCCCATCGCCCGACGTGGCGGGGCGGGGCGGGTCGCGCGTGGCGCGGCGTGGCGTCACGTCACGTCGCCGCCGCCGCCTCATCACGTCGCGGGAGCGTGCGTGCGTGTGTCCGTGTCGGTCGGTCGGTCGTGTTTCCAGCCTGAGTCAGAGATGGCCCCCGGGGCTGACTGGGAGGGTCAGCTCGACCCGCTCCGGTGTCAGTGTCCGGCTCGCCGCGGTATCGCTCTCGTCACGGGCCTCTCGCCGAGCCTGCGCGGGCTTTGTTGCCTCGGGCGCTCGCCTCGGGTGCAGCCGTCGCGCGCGCGAGCCCACCAGAGCTAATAATAATAATAATAATAATAATCCTTGCATTTGATATAGCGCTTTTCACGTCGGGAGGACGTCCCAAAGCGCTTCACAGAACACACTGTAAAGTGAATTGACTGTATATTTGTGGGTGAACGCGGCAGCCAATTGCGCACAGCAATGTCCCACAAACAGTCGTGGATTGAAAATGACCAATTTATTATTGTTTTGGGTTTTGGAGGGATTATTATTAGGCTCTGTGTGGAGTAAGGAAACTTGCCCAAGGTTTCGCCCTCTGCCTGGAATCGAACTCAGGTCTCTCACTTGCAAAGCGAGTGCTCTAACCACTGAGCTACAGGACTCCGATAATAGTCCGTTTCAAAACAAGAGGCTTTTCCTATTTAATGATGACAATCCGTGCATTTGATGAAGCGCCTTATCTCATCTTCTAGACGTCTCAAAAGCGCTTCACAGAATATGCTGAAAAGTGAATTGACTATATTTTGTGGGCGAAACGCGGCGCACAGCAGTGTCCCACAAACAGTTGTGGATATAGTGCCCAAATTATTATTTTTATCATTTATCCCGCCTTGTGACTTCCTCCTGACATTTTACGAAAATGTAATTTTGTATTTTTGAAGGGATTATTATCCCTGGGAAAGCGATTCGCCAATTGACTTAGTGCTAGGTAAACAGATGCGTGTGGAGTAAGGAAATTTACCTAATGTTTTGCCCCGCTCGGGAATCAAACCCAGATCCTGTTTACTTGTGTCCCTTATCAATTATTAACATTTTAATTGAACCAGAGCAGCAATGCGCGCATTTGAAGGCAAGTCAAGACATTTACCCATCTGCGTCTAATTTTTTCAACTTGTTAACACCTTTTTATTGAGCTTCCAAAGGCTAGGTGCCACTGCAATTCATGACCTTTTACACTTATGGTTGTGCTAGAAATAGGTGAGAGGTCAACATTCCCCCAAGAACACTCATATAGGGTATTCTGGAGAGAGAGTAATAAAATTAGATTGGAAAGAGCTGAAGATAAGAGGCTGGGCAGTAAACTATGTTAATGTGTTGAGAAAGGCCAAAGAGCCTAGTGGAGTTTCCACCAAACTTGAAATGAGGAGCAGAGAAAACTAAATGAGTCAAACAAATAAATAGATGATAGTGTTTGATTTCACAAGCGTGTAGATTGTAGGAGGAATTTATGAAATGATTATAATCTTTTATTAGGATGTGCCTGGCAAATTGTTCAATCAGGATGCCAAACCAGGTAGGGCTGTTAGACCAACATATATCTGAATATTAATAATCTGATCATCTGAAACCATAAATACCCAGACTGCTGTCATCCAACAACAAATATTTTAAATCATAAGTACCAAAAACATTGTATGTCTCCTTCTACCTCTGACCTGCTTAATTTCCCTACTTTCCTCTCAGTCTCCTTGCCTTCCTCCTAAATTCACAGGTCTAGTGCACATCTGTTTCAATCCTCAGCTCTCTTTTCTCCCTCACATCCAGTCCCTGACCAGGTCTGCTTTTTATATGTCCGCCACATTGCCTGCTTCTGGCCCTATGTCACACAAAATGCTCTGTGGCCCCTGAAGGAGGCCCCATAGAATGATGATGGTCTTCCAAATCAATGCCAAGAACGTCAACCTTGCCGAAGAGTTATTCTTCAAAGGCTGGTTCAATAAGATTTTGCTTGAGTCACCTACACTGTCAGTACTCCAGAGTGCAATTGTGGTTTCTATCCAGAAGATGGGTGGAACTATTGAGATTGAGAACCATCTCATTGATTTCAGTGAAAGGTGTTGGATTGGGTAGTCATGGCACATATACCGAATGCACTGGAAGCCCACAATGTAATCAAAAAGGAAGGAAAAAGCTGAATTTTGTTTTCATGAGGAGTATGTGTAGCAGGTTGTTGCATTATGAGATTGCAAAATATTCTCATGTTCAGGAAAACCCCACCTATGCTACATTCATCCATTTTCCTTGAAAAGGTTGTAGGAAATCTTAGATTTTATCTGGGATGTGTATCCCAGCTCTAAGATCCATATGAGGGACCATGAGAGATTTACTGAATCAATTGTTTTCAAAAGGGGAGTAAGGCAAGTTTATTCGCTGTCAACCACCCTATTCAATGTTTCATCAATGATATATTAGATATCATTGAGAAGAATGGACTTGATGTGTCTATTCCAGGCATTTTTAATAAAACAATGGTATCTGTTTCTAGATTATGGTGTTTTGTTGGTGGCTCATGCACTGCTCTCACATTTTGAATGCTGGAGCACTCAGTGACATTATGGCCAGTTCCCCTAAATGCAGTATTATGGCTACATGACTTGAGAGAGGACCTTGAAGGTATAGATTGGAAGATATAAGGAGCATCCATCATTGAGTGTTATCAGTATCTGGGGGTTGTGATAAACACCAGGTTTACCTTGGATACAGTCTTGTAGGATCACATTGAGAAGGGTTGAAGAGCACTGTTTGTTGTTTCTCTTCAAGAACAGCAAGTTCGCAATACAGGTTAAGCTTGTGGAGTGTAAGACATGTATCCAAACAATTCTCTAAAAACTGTTACCATAGTACACTGCTTGAAATTAAGCTCGGAACAGTTAGTTGACCATATAGTCCATCAAACCTACCTCTACAATTTTCCAAAAGATACCTTCAACACACATACCCTATCTTCTAATAATATTTAATTTGTTTAATTCAAATGAAGTGAACCAGATTGCAGCTTAGTTTCTAGCTCCAGTTTAAGTAGATGGTCCAAATACCTGAGTACCAAAGCTGCACCATTATGGAGTGGATTACTGTATTGGTGTAACACCACTAGACAACGTTGCTCCATATGATATTATAAAATCTATTGCTAGATGGCTTTCACAAAGAAAGACATTCAAGGCAGACAAGGGCAGACTTTAGTCTGAAACACATCCCATTCCATTGAGAAGGTTGCAAAGGGTAAGATTGTTAAGTCAGGATAAATAATCAAATCTGACAGTTAAGAGAGGTCACTCCTGTAGGTCAAAGAGATCAAGCAGTTTTTGTTCAATGCTAGGATATCTGAGAAACCAAGGTTTGCATAGACATTACAATGTTTTCAGAATTTCCTTTGTCTCCTTTGCTCTAATTTTCTGAAATAGCCTGAAGAACAAAATAAATATAGACTGTGCAGCCTTCATTCTGATTACTTCATGGTACTTGATCAAAAACAATGATTTTGTTGGGTATCCAGTAATGCAAATCAGGTGATGGTTGGATAACCCCTAAGTCTAAAATATTTCCTGAAATGGCTTTAATATTTCTTTAATACAATACAGATAGCATATTTAAGCTGTTGTATCAGTAAGAAACATTGAGACTTTGAATTGTGCTATATCAACAATAGGAACACACTACATGGCTCCCCTGAAGTTGTTGCCAAATCTCTATTTGTTTATTGTATACACCTGAACTTTAAGACATTTATTGCCACAAATGCACATTATACACATAGTAATATGGTACAATAAAATCAGATACCAGCAAGCTACTGAATCAAAATAAACATATACAATGCACCTGTATGTAACTTTCAAGAAATACAATTTACTATAATAATAACAAAAATCCTTGCATTTGCTATAACACCTTATTTTGTCGAGATGTCTCAAAGTGCTTGATATAGTGTAAAGTGGTGTAACTGTGTGTATTTTTGTTGGCAAAAGCAGCAGCCAATTTGCACACAACAGAAGTATGTGACCAATTTTACTTGGAAGATTGTTTTATTTGAAGCAGAGCTTGTAGAGTCCATAATGGAGTCTTGTAACGTATTGGTTAGAGCATTCGCCTCGCCAGTGAGAGACCCGGGTTTGATTTTCGGGTAGGCCAAAACGTTACTGCACATTCCTCTGTTTACCTACCAGTAAGTAGGAACCCGGTTGTTAGTCAATTGGCAGATTGCTTTTCCAGAGGTAATAATTCAATAACAACAATTTGCACTTACATAGCACCCTCCATTCAGGGTAGCATCTCGGAGCACTTAACAGTGGCAGAGCTTGACTCCTAGCCGGGGTGGGGGGGAGGTGATCGTAACCACAGTTGAAAAGGAACGTTTTCAGGTGGGACTTGAGAAAGGGGAGAGAGAGAGCAAGGTGGAGGGATTGAGGGAGAGTGTTCCACAGTTTCAGGGCATAGTGACTGAAAGCGCAACCTCCAATGGTGGAGCGGAGTGTGCGAGGGACAAGCAGGAGGCCAGTGCCAATCGAGCAGAGGCTCCGGGTGCTGCATTGGGAAGTGAGGAGGTCGGAGAGGTAGAAAGGTGCCAGGGAGTGAATAGATTTGAACATGAGTATGAGGATTTTAGAGTCGATCCGTTTGGTGATGGGGAGCTGGTGGAGCTTGGCCAGAACTGATGAGATGGGGGTATGGAGTTTGGCCCGGGTCAGTATTGTAAATTATTTCAAAATAATAATAATAATTTGGTCACTCAATCCATAACAGTTTGTGGGGCACTGCTATGTGCAATTAGCTTCCACTTTTCGCCCACAAAATATACAGTCAATTCACTTTACAGTATATTCTTTGAAGTGCTTTGAGAT